TTGTGAGGCTCGCGAGAGAGCCGGAAATTCTGTCTTCTCTAATGAGAAAACCGTCCGCTTCGTTCTCATTGTCCCCCGTTAATTAACCTGATCTTTCTTATCTGACATTGTGCCCGACATCGAGACGCGTCACATTCGCCATCCAGTCGAAACTAACGATGAGCGATCTCGATTTGATCTTGAGGAAAGCAATTTTTTCTCTCTTAACTGAGCTTTCTGCTCGATTTGTGCTCGACCAAACGATTCTCTTCGACAGAGAATCGAGTTTCATCAATCCGCTGATGAATTTATTCATCAATGTTTCATCGTTTGATGAAGAGTTTAAGTGCGGTCGAAAGAATTGACTTGTGAAAAAATCGAGCAGAGAATCGAAACCCGTCCCTTTCGGAGGGGAGAGATCAATTGTTTGAAAATCGAGATCGAGATCGAGATCGCCTGTCGTTCGTTGTAATAAACTATTAGCGAGGTGGGTGCGCCGCGCGAGCCAATCGAGTCGCGCGTCGCACCACCGCTCGTTTTCTTCGAGGAAGGCGGCCGCGATTGTCGCGGCAATGATCACGTTTTCACCTCAGCCGTGAGCCGCGGGCCGGATTGTGTCGCGGTCTTATTTCGGGGGCTCCGCGGGCGCCGTGGTACCTTCGCGGAAGTGAACGCAGCCAGCTCTAGCTGGCTGGCTAGCTGACTGGCTAGCTGGCTGGCTCCGCCGGGCGTCGTGTGTCGCGAATTTTGGAAGGCCGCCAATCTCGCGCCGGATGTAGACGAGGCTCGGCCGAGGCAGGAGTCTGGCCGCCCTCTCAGGGAGCAACGTCCTGTCGGGCTTTCGCGAGCGCGCTCGTCAGCAACGGATAGCAAAAGGCACCGAAGGCGCAAGAAGAAATCCGACGGAGGTGCTGGACTGCTCTCTTATCGCAGGGTCTGGTGATATCGCCGCTGGATTTTTGTCCGCGCGGACCGCCCCGCCCCGCCCCGCCGCCGTGTTCTCGTCTTCTCGAGCTCTCGCGAGCGCCTTCACACGTTTCGTTTCTACGGCGACGGGACTCGAAATCGACCGTCAACGACGAGGGGAACCGCGGCTCGCGTTAATTCGATCGCGTTTTTCAGCGGGACCAAGGCGACCTCTGATGTCTCGATTGCCGTCGTCGGCGACGTTACGTCGAAGGGGACGCGAGACATTTATTTCGCACGAGCTCGCGACATGCTCCGTCGAGTACCATCGACGTCGTGGCCAGGCCGAGGGTGACGGCTCTTTCGCTTCTATTGGAGACGATGAGAGAGAGAGAGAGAGAGAGAGAGAGAGAAAGAGAGAGAGAGAGAGAATCGCCGCGCGTAATAATGGTACATGACGCGCCAAAGCCAGCGGATCACGCGCTACGTTCACACATCGTTCGATAAGTACGACGGGATGCCTGTCGCAACAGCAGCGTTGCATCCAACGTGTTACAGTGCATCGATGCAATAACCGGGTGTCGCTCGGGCTATCGCGCGCCTGTCTTGCAAATCGCCGACCGTGAACACGGCGAATTTTACAGCGCGTTTACGCCGCGCCGCGCCGCGCCATGCACGCTACGCGACGCGGCTTCTTATCGGCGCGCATGATCCAGTGAGTAATATCTTATCGCGAGCCATGATCCAGCAGAAACTCGTTGGGCTCCCCAGTTAGAAGGGTTAAAGACCCGCTTCCTCCAGTTAGTTCCCCCCCCCCCTCCCGCGACCTGTGTAACTGCGTAATCATCGGATTGCCATATTTGCCGCGTGTGTCTCGGCCCGTCGACGAAAGCGACGTATCGCCTCCTGATCTCTCCCGCTTCGAAACCGGAACGCGGAAATGAGCATCGACCGGTCGAACGGGCAATACTCGTGGCGATCGCTCGTGCGAACACCACGTCGGGAAAACTGCAAATTCGACATAAACGTCGAGTGCAATCGCTGCGCGGCTTCCTCTCTGTCTCTCTTTCTCTCGTGGATCATTGCTTCCCACGATAGAAAAAAATCCCGCCAAATTTTCCTCAGATATCTATTTGGACTTACGGGAATTATCCAATTGTGAGATACAGCATCTCGTACCAATATCGAGATTATAAATTATAAAGGTTCCAATCAGAATCGCTAAGAATCGTAACTAATGCACCGTGGTTCGTAACGAATGAAACACTGCACATCGCAATTTGACTGTCCCCACAGTGAGGGAAGAAATTACGACAAAGGTTACAAGCTATAAAGTAAGCTTACTATAAAGTAAGAATATCAAACCATCCAAATGTACTGGCAAATCAACTCATGTCCAGCAGAATTAAAGATAGAAGATTAGAAAAGAAATTGGATGATCTGTTAAACGACGTATAATACATATCATTATATATTTTAAATGTGTCAATGGATGCATTTCGTGCATAATTTTTATCCATATTTAATCCAACAAACTAATTACTGAATGTCTGATCCAGACAAATTGTAATTTTATGGGAGTTAACCCTTACCGTGTCTGGTGGGACATATATGTCCCAGAACTTAAAAAATCCATATCTCCCACAAAAATAAAGATAGCCGACTTCCTCTTGAGCTGATTTTAAAGAGGAAAGAGAGGATTCTTCGCACAAAAATCAACAGCCTTGTTAGTTTCATCCTCCAATCTGCACATCTTGTCAAATACTCGTAAAATAGGGTAAAAGTGAAAAAAAAAAATATATATATATATATATTTCACAAAAATTAAGATAGCAAGTTCTTCCTGGGCTTATTTTGAAGGTCAACGTAAGGGCTGTATGAAACAAAATTGCTACTTAATTTCAAAATGGCGGGTTCAATATGGCTGACCAAAATATGAAATTTTTGTGGATTTGAGTGAAACTTATTTTTCAGCGGTTTTTCGAATCGTTGATAACGAATCTAAAGTTAAAATTTTCAAATTCAATATAGTCATATCTAATATAGCTAAAACGTAAATAAAAAAGGTCGACTCAATTTTATTCACATTACGTGGAATTTTTTGAAGCACGGGTTGAGACAGAGTGGAACTTTACACGCTGTGCATATTGAATTCGTCATTTCAGATTTTCAAATTTTGACTACAGATTCATAATCAGCGAGCCCAAAAATCTCTGGAATATGAATTTTATTCAGATCCAAGAAAATTTTACATTTTGGTTTGCCGTATCGGATCCGGATTATTTTGAATTTTGAAATTTTGATTACAGATTTATAATCAGCGACCCTAAAAACCTTTGGTAAGACGTGAATTAGATGCAAATTATTCCTAGAAAAAAGTCAGGCACAAAAGAGTTAAAGAAAAAAAAAAAATTTCCTCTTCGTAACCGCGGCAAAATGAGCGTCGATCGGTCGATCGATCACAAATCGCAAAGTAGGAACGGAACGCCGAGTGTTCGCGACCGCAGCTCGAATCGGGGCTCGATGGAGATCGTAAGCGAGCTCGTTAATAGCGCGAGGCGCCGCATCGAATCTCTCGACTGTGTGTCGCACGTCGAGGCGTAATCGCGAATTTATAGACGCTACTCGCGGCCAGGATGGATGCGCGCCTCGGCCTCGGAGTCTCGGATGATGCACGGGAATATCCGGGAGCTTGCGGCGGTCAAATGATGCAACCATTGTACGCGGGCCTCGGTGCATACAGAGCAGGCGGTGGTGGATCGGCGTGCCGGGCGTTTGGATTTTGAATTATTGCCATGGGCGATCGATCGCATCGCGGCGCAGGTGCGACGTCGTCCCGCGCCGCGTTCCGCTCGCTCGCAACCGTTTTTGGTGCTCGCACAACGAGAAGCGGCGTTGCCTCTGCGGGCCGCCAAGATTTGTCGACAGACCACTGAGAAGAGCGCGAAGAGGAGAGGAGAGAGGAGAGAGGAGGAGAGTGGAGCCTGCAACACGGCGAACAATTGCGGTCGGACGGCGCGCGGGACGAACTCGCTTGGCGGGATCGAAGCTCGGGAATTCCGCGGGAATGCATTGCCATATTCGTCCTTACGGCGCCGTTCGACCGAATGCGAGAGTGTCGTCCTCGAGCAGGCGACATGCGCGTGATTATAAGCGTGGGTCGGAATCGTCGTTGTCTGCGAAGATGAAATGCGGAAGCGGGCAAAAGAACGAGAGAGAAAGAGAAAGAGAGAGAGAGAGAGAGAGAGGGAGAGAGAAAGAGAGAGAGTGAGTGAGTGGGAGGGAGGATGAATCGATCGCGATTTTAATCGCGAGAATGCGCGTTGCGTATCGCGTAAACAGGAACGTCGACTGCGCGTTGGCTTCTCCCGTTTTCGCAACGAGACGAGTTCATTGTGGAAGTCGCTGTTTGATTTACGCGCGATGTAAAAACGGCCAGGGCGAGCGGATGACAGAGAGAGAGAGAGAGAGAGAGAGAGAGAGAGAGAGAGAGAGAGAGAAAGATGAAAAGAGAAGGAGAAAGATGCAGAGAGAGAGAGAGAGAGAGAGAGAGAGGGGGGGAGGGGGAGAAAGGAAAGCGAGGTTCAAGACCTGGTCCAATTGAAAATCCCGGCTATTAAATGGTCCCCGCGTCGCGCTCACGGGGCTTACGTAACGAGGATTTATCGTCGCTGACCGTACTTGACTCCAGTTACGCATAGAGCGTATTGTGCGCTGCTGTGGGCCGCTGGAGGGGGCGGGTAAATAGAAACCTCACTTCAATTGAACGTGTCTCGATTATCCCGATTGCGTTTATGCAGCCAAAGGTCGAGTTATGCGCGTTTTGCGCCGGGAGAACAATAAAATATTCTATTCTCGTCGCGGCGCGGCGCGGCGCGGCGATAACGACAAACGCGACGACTCGGCTGGCTCGGCGCGTTGTTCGATCCTTCCGATCTGCGCCTTGCCCGCGAAACACTGCGCCCCAAGTGCGCGAGGCGCGATTTCGCGTCGACTCTCGTTCTCCCCCGCGATCGCAAGGTCGCGGGGAGAGTCGCCGTCGAAGCGGAGACGAGCGAGACGGCTTATAGCGTATACGGCTCTAGGTCTTCCGCCGTGCAGCGGACTCTCCATACCTGTCCGGTATCCCGCGTTGCTCAGGTAAGCAGCGAAAGAGTGTGGCTCGTGATCTCGTTGCCACTGGGGACTGCTGCAGTTGTCGTTGTTCGTGAAGACCTCGTGATTGTGAACGTAACGACCGGTCAGCAAGGAGCTCCTACTTGGGCAACACATGGGAGTGGTCACGTATGCGTGCCTCAGCTCGGCGCCCTCGTCCCTTATTCGCCTCAGGGTCCGTGGCATGAAGTTCAGCGAACCTGAGGGATCGAGGCAGCCACTTTGAGAACGCGCTCTCAAACATTCGTACCGCCCGCGAACCGGGCTATTGTGGCCGCTATAATGCCTCGGCGTGTATGTCCCGCTTACCCGCTGACCGTTCATCGCGGATCATCGTCATCGTCATGACGTGCATGACGGGATACGCCCGTGGACGACAATTTCGCGATGTTTACCCCGCGGATTCCCCCGGCTCGGTCTCGCCCTCTCGAAGACGCGGATATCAAGCGCGCGCCGCGCCGGCTTCCTCGCGAGAAGCAATCTCCACGGGGGGGGGATTGCTCTGCTTCTTTTGGAGATTCTTTGGGGAACGTCGCTCGTCGTGCGATATTCCGGAGTAGACTCGCGGACGATTCCTGCGATTCTCAAGTCGCAGCGCGCTGTCTAGCCGCGCTGAAATATCGGACACTGATAAGGTCCTCTGGCGCGAGGAAACGCGCCTCTCGTCGCGGCGAGAACGAGCCGACGCCGACGGCCGATACATCTCGGGTGTCATCCGGCGACCTCGCGTATGCGATTATTAACGAGTGAATTACAACGAAGTAAGCTCACGCTCACGCGCTACTACACGACGCGGCGCGTTACGGGTAGGAGGATTGCGTATTGCGTTTCTCCCGGCACGCACACACACATGCGGTACGCTCTCGCGGTATCTCGACAGCGCGCCTTCTCTCGTTCGCGAAGACCGAGACGCGAATATCGCGCGCAACGGTGAGATAAGGCGCCGGGGTGTTGCACGCAATAAACAAAGTGTCTCTATGCTCTGCGTAGGCACATTCATACCGGTAATACGCCGCGATAAATAATCCCCGGGACGTTGCGTGTGTACGTGTGAGAGGTACGTGCAGGAAGAACGGCGCGAGCGCCGGGAGCGCCGCCGCCGAGCCTGGTCTCTCTCTCTCTCTCTCTCTCTCTGTCTCTGTCTCTGTCTCTGTCTCTGCCTCTGTCTCTGTCTCTGTCTCTGTCTCTGTCTCTATCTCCGTCTCCGTCTCCGCCTCTGTCTCTGTCTCTGTCTCTGTCTCTGTCTCTGTCTCTCTCTACGCACCGAGCTCGACATCCTGATCGTCCGTCAGAATCAGCACGATGTTGGGCTTCCTCTCGCGGGGCTGTTGATACGGCAGATAGGGTGAGTTGGACTGATGATTGTAATTATTATTGCCGTTGCCGTTGTAACTCGACTTGTGGAGGGCGCCGCGACGCTGGCCGGCGTACGCGTCATCCGCAGGTCGATCTCCGTCGCTCCGCCTGGCATTGACACCCAGCAGGAGGAGAGCCAGGAATTGAAATAGCTTGCTCATGGCGTCCGGCTGGCTGAAGTCGCTGCTGCTGCTACTGCTGCCGCTGCTGGTCGTCGCTTATGGCCTGGCTACTTCAATCGGGTGTCATACCATGGTTGTGAGCTGCAACATGGGGAGCAACGGGGGGAGCGTGATAATGTGCGTGCGTCGCGACTCGCTTCTCCGATCGATCGATCGATCGATCGATCCTCGTTCATTGTCTCGGACGCCGTCCGGACGTGGCGTTTTTCATTTTCACGCGACGTGCGGATCGAAACGATCGCTCGCTCGTTGCGTAAACGCGCGAGCGTTGGCAAGGAAAGGTAGGAGAGCCGGCAATTCAAAAAATTATGAAACTCTATGTTGAAGCAAAGTAATTCATCCGTAATGCAAAACTGTTTCTTGTTCGTGCGGAATTCCGGAGTCTGAGGGGATGAAACTACCCTTCAAAGAGAAAAACCATTTTCATTTTTAGCGTATATCTTATAAAATACGAGGCATGTGCGAAGATGGTTCATATGAAAGTTGTAGTGTATTTCATATTATTTGCAACCGTGTATTGAGATTTTGCAGAATTGGAGGAAAGGACGGAGGGGGGGGGGGGTTCAACAATTTTTCAATTTTGAAAGATATACGCTAAAAATGAAAAATTAAAATTTTTTCTCTTTTTCCGAAGGGTGATTTTTCAGCCCTTCAGACTGGAATTCCGCACGAACGAAATATAGTTTTGCATTGCGAATGAACTTCCACTTTACTTCCACACAAAGTTTCATAATTTTTTGGATTCCCTAGTTCCCTATGTTTCCTTGTGAGATATATCTTGTGAGAAAGCTCGCGTTCTCGTGGGCTTCCCGCCGATTCAGCGTGCGATCGGACAGAGAAAAGCTTGAAAGCCTCCGCGACGAGATAAGAACATTGAACCGCGCGAATTGTGTAATCGGGAACATTCATTGGAAAATGTGCATATCGCACGCGGTATAGATGGCCCCTCTCTCTCTCTCTCTCTCTCTCTCTCTCTCTCTCTCTCTCTGTCTCTGTCTCTGTCTCTGTCTCTGTCTCTGTCTCTGTCTCTGTCTCTGTCTCTCTCTCTCTCTCTCTCTCTCTTTCTCGCAGACTTTCCATTCATCCGGCGCGAATGAAATTCTCGCACCTCGACCGAAAGGCGTTGCGCAAAGCTCTGCGGCTCGGCGAACGACGATTTTGTAGTACAACTACGACAACAGAGCAGCCGCGCTTGGTCGTGTGTGAATTAACAAGCATTGATATCGCGCGTAATAACGGTCGCCCGTTGCGACGGACGACTGCGCTGCGCGCAAATATTCGACATTTCACCGAGGGGGCGCACACGTGATCGTCCTAACTAAATAGCGCGAGCCTCGTGCTCTCGAGACAGAGTCGCTCGAGAACGAGAGATGAGAGGTGAAAGGCGAGGTGAAAAAAAGGGAGAAAACGAACACGTGACCCACCCCCCCGCCTGCCCGCCCGCCGGTCGGAGCGTGGAAGCGAAGAACAAGACCATAATCGCACGTTCCGTGCTTTACGGCCGGCAGGCCGCGCTTTATCGCGCTGCACGTTGCCGAGATCTTTGCGAGGAACCGGAGGAGCGATAAATAAAACGAGATCGGGCCCGAATTAACCCTCTCCCCCCTCCCCCGCGCTCATTCACTCGGACGTGTGTACGTATGATCGGGGCCGTGAACGGTTCGCGAAGCTCGTCGGCGAGTCGCGTTGTCTGCTGTGGTTTTCTGCTTCGCGGAGCACTTGGCTCTCTCTCTCTCTCTCTCTTATAATTGTCCCCTTGTGTATCCTCTTTTCTTTATTTTAATCAGACAGCCTCTACAGAATCTGATGATGAGTCCGAGTGTGAGTTGTTCGACGAGCCTAATGGAAATATATCCCGCGAGTAACGAACACCGCGAGTGGCGGACTTTTGAAACGTCCGCGCGTCGCGTCGTTCGAATTCGATTAACGTCGACTCTAGCGGCGGCTCGCCCGCCTCGGGCCTCCATTTTCTTCGCCGACGTAATTCATTAGTATGTCGAGGATTCGTTGGTGTAACGTGCCGTGGGTGGCGCGGCGCGCTGTGCTCAACGTGTGATCCGTTGAGTGGGCCGAGCGCAGGTTAAACGGATGTTACGCGGGCGCGCTCGTTTACATGTTAACCTGCTTGCCTGCGACGCGACACGGAGTGTAGGTCGAACTGATCTCCGTAGGCACCGGGGAAACGATGATCGCTCGGCCGACTCGACTCGAATCGCCCGAGGGAGGCCCGGCGATGGCAGGCAGCGTGGGTTGCCCGACGCGCGCGATGTTCCTCTTTGCGATATTCATTAAACGCTTCTCTCGAGACTCGCGATTTTCTCCGTGGCTAAGGAGAACATCGTGGACGTGTAACTCTGACGTGGACGTGCGCCGCACTTGGAGTATCGCCCGTCGAAAGCGATCGAGTCATGCGGGGCGGATGCCGCGTGAATAGCATGGCCGGTTAAATGGGACCGACGGACGAACGAACAACGAAAGAGAAAGCAATTTGCTTTCCCTCCCTCTCTCTCTCGCCCTCATAACTCTCTTTGATCGTCGTGTTTTTGAACCGCTGAGAGGAAAGGATTTTCCATGATAAAAATGCAGCGCGCCAATTAGAAATCAACACATTGGCTGATTGGCAATCCTCTAACGATGAGAGCCTTTCGGGCTCAAGTGGGAGGAAATCGTCGGTAACTTGGCGAAGCTGGGAAATATTCGCCGAATGCTTCCAGAATATCGACTGGCCTGTTCCGCGCGAGATTTTCAGTTTTTTTCTTCAGGATCGATCGGCTGCGTGCAATGTTGTTCATTGCGTCGTTCGCGTCGAGCGTCGCTCCTTGAAACGCTTAGTCGCGTTCCCGTCGCGTCGGCGCGGCGTCGAGCTTATCAACGCACGTTTCTCCGGTCGAATCGTCTGTTATTCGCGCGTCAGTGTCAGGGTCAAGGCCATGACGATGCCGCGGCTGGCGCCGCATGCATCCAGGTGCGTTTGATTACGGCCGACTTTGGCGCCGATTTTTGCGCGCCGCGTTGGACAAACTCGCCGGGTGCAAGGTTCGACACTTGCAGCCTCGGAGTTCACACCGGTTTTCACGGCTCGGCTCCGGCGCCATCGTTGTTATCATGAGTCGCGTACAAGGTACAGATATAAGGAGAGCGCATCGCTCTGATTGGATCGTATCTAATGAGGGCCGATCTCTCGGCCGAGATAAACGCGAGTAGACTTCCGGACGTGCCGCAGACGGCGAGAAAACGTCGGCGACCACCGCGGTCGTTCCCTCCGAGTGCCCCCCCCCTCCTCCGGCTCGCGGCCTTCCTCCTCTTCTGCCCCGTCGATCCTCCTCGACCGGCTGCTGCGTGTGTCGGCTTAAAAAGCGGCTCGCATTTTTCGCGCTCGACTAAATAATCCCGCTTCTCGCATATTACCGATACCAGCGCGTGCTATCTCGGCGTCCGCGTCCACAGAGAGTCTCTCTCTCTCTCTCTCTCGCCCTTCGCGATTCCCAATCGACGGCGTGATGATAGGCTACGATAAAGTACTGATACTCATTTCGATAGTCGCGATATCGAGACACGCATTAGACGATCCGCCGTGCAAATAACAAGCTGACGCGAACGAGCCGCAATTACCGCGCGCGCACGCACGCACGCACGCGTGTCGAGAAACGCCGCTTTTCCACACAATGACTTCGTCATCGCACGGTCACGTTTCCCCGCGCGGGTTCTCGACGTTGGCGCGAACGCTCAGCGAACCGACAATGACTTCCCGCCGCACGTCGAAGATTGCTCGTTAGTTCGATGTTAATCGCGCTCGCGCTCGCGCGCGATTATAGTGACGTGATCGGCGTTTAAGACGTCGTTATCGGAGGAGAAACTCCAGAGGTACTTTTCCCCTCGGATCAGTGTCGAGTTGTCGATCGGTACTGGATCGAACGTCGTGAACGGGCGAGTCCGCCGGTCCCATTTTCTCTCCTCTCTCTCTCTCTCTCTTTCTCTCTCGATTTCACTTCTTCCTCTCTTCTTTCTGCCAGAGCTTCCTCCCCCTCGCATTATCCTTGACATTAGGGACCACACCGGAGGCGTGGCAGGCCGCGTAGCTAGTATTTACAGCATTGTGGCGTGCCGTCGGCGATGTGAGGAATTTTACTTGAGCCAATGCGGCCGCTCGGCGTGCCGAGCCGATAGCGTAATGAATAGTTCCGATTATCATCGCGTGCAAGAAGCGCGCGGCTTTTCCGCGGTCGCGAAACCTCCGGTCGTGACTCCGTCGCCGGTCACGGAGGCTCGCCCTTGCCGACCCTCCACTTTGGCAGCGGCAGCAGCCTCCAGCTCATCGACAGAGCCCTGGCATTCTCTCGTAGATCGCGCGAGCCGTTTATTACGCCGGTATTACACACTCCGTTGCAGCGTGAAATAGCAGCCGTTCCGTATTTATCGGAACGTTCTCGACATCGAAGCGACAGTGGAGCGCGAGGAACCCGCGGCCATAAGGCCGCTCTCTCATTCCGACGTTTCTCCCTCGTTTCCCCCCGGTCGCGCTTTCGCCCTCGCGCGGGCCGAATCCTTTATCGTCGCGCGTTCGACATTATTAGCCGTGGCTGTTTCTCAGACGCGATCAGACGTTCGACGCGTCGCGGTAATTTGCCGCGTCGCGAGCGCTGAAACGAACGATCAATTACCGCGAGGCGCGGCGCGTGTTCGTTAGGAGAATAAATCTTTCGGCACCCCCCCTCCCCCCTCCCCCTCGCGAGTCTCCGGCGGAGAGCGAGCGCGCTCGGCGACACGCCGCTCGTCGTGCGCGTCGACGCGCGTAAATCCTGACCGCACGCACCGCGTGCGCGCGGTATCCTGACGTCACTTCCTGGGTAGAATAGTAGGAACGAGTGCGTGCTGAATTTAGCACAATCAGATAATGTATAACGGGCACAGCCCCGTCTGTCGACTGTCGACTTTGCGACGACGCGCTGCGTGCGTGCGTGCCGCATACCGACGCAACGCGGGCACCCCGATGCATCTCTCCCTCTCGAGTCGTTCCTCAAAGCGGGGAATCGAAAGCGCTATAATGTGACGGTTAATCGACGGCGAGTTCACGGTCGGCG